AGAACATTCAAAGGTACAGAAATGAAATTTGCTGTTCTTATGTTATATGTCTAGAGCCGTAGAGCGATATGCCTAGAAAGCGCACGTAACAATCACTCAAAATATTCCACTATGACACTTTGTTACCCTGGCTTAAGGGACCTACTTACTGGGATGCCTCAGCATTTGCAGGGCAGCACCCGAAGTAGTTATGCCAATGGCAAATAAGTGAACACTTCAACTGCACGCTTCAATGCATTGTGATCAGATAACACATTTACGTTAAGAACAAAATAATAGCTAAGATCTCCTCCTAAATAATAGTAAATCTCTTCATAAAGATGATGTCCACCCCTGTGCACATGCGCGAACTTTGTTTACGTTTTAAGCTGCTATATTTGTAAAAGATGATATACTAACTGAATATCTAACACTTCTCTGGTTCGCTTACTTGTAAATGAATATAAACTGTACGTTTCAATTCAAAAAAGTTCGAAAGATGCGAAATTTGGGCAATGTTTATATCTGCGGGCCCCCCATTGTTATGAGCAGAACTGATGCGCAAAACGGAGTGGACATCATCTTTAAGTATATACGTGTAGGAGATCTCACAATGACGTTAAGATCCTGTTACACATGAAGCAGGTCGCTTACCTTTGCTGCATCAAGAATTTCGTACAGATCACCATATTTCGGCAAATAGAATGAAAACCACTGCTTCATGTGCGGGCAACTACATATTTAAGAAACAGAATACTGAATGAGACAGCTAACTTGCATTGGACATATACAGTACTGTAGCTACATAAATTCTACTGTACTCTTCCCTTGTTATTATAAAAGATAGTCTTAGATGATATAGTACCTATCTTTAGAAGAGTGGGAAGTTGCTATAACAGCTACTGTATGTTTGGAAAAAAGCAAAAGATGAGTTCAAAAGACAATTGCATTATTGTCCTTTTCCAGCTGCGAGGCATGGATTGTTTGGACGATTTGTCCTACAAATCCGATTGTACTCCATGCATTTCACTCACGCATCGTTCTCGACTATTTTCTGCATACAGAGGACCTACTGTTACAAGTCAAACGAGGATGAGAGTTGATGCGAGTTAGCAGGCATGTGTTTGAATGAGATTTTCTCAACTCTCATGCTCCAGTTAAACAAGAACAAGAGTTTGTGTGAATTGATGAAAGCTGGCTGGATATTACTGCGCATAAACTCCGACTCATAAAATCTTGTTAACATTTGAACCAATTCAAGGTTGATGGGAGTGCATGAGAGTTGACGAGAGTTGGTGTTCAAATTGCGAGCGAAAGTTGCAACTCCCATCGGTGATGACTTTGACCATTTGCGTAATAGACTAAATTCTGATCTAGACAAAAATTTCATCACAGCTTGAAAGAGCATCACAAAATTAGTAATATTCCAATGTTTCGTTGCGAAATGTTGTAAAATGCAGATAATATAGCCTTGCGAAATTTGCAATTTTCAGTCATTTTGTATTACAAATGGGAAATTGACAGCCCAATACCCTTTGGGGCTGTCAATTTCCCGTTTGTAATCTAAAATGACTGAAAATTGCAAACTTCGCAAGGCTATATATTATCCGCATTTTACAACATTTCGCAACGAAACTTTGGAATATTACTAATTTTGTGATGCTCTTTCAAGCTGTGATGAAATTTTTGTCTAGACTTGTTTAGATCAAAATTTAGTCTATTACGCAAATGGTCCATTGTTAATATAGGTAATAGTATGGTTTCGAGTGCAATTTGGGAAAGACATGCGCGAGTGAGTTTTTCCAAGACGATCAAAATCAAAGACGAGTGCATTTTGAAGTCTCTGAAAAGTCACGAGTGTATGTTTTTCCAAATTCCACGGGAAACTGTATATACTATTACTTTTAGTTATTAATAATATACTTGAAAAAAACATGCAGTGACCGCAGTCATGTCCATACGTAGGTCACATGCGAAATAGATAATTTTAATATAAACAATTTTTGTCACTCGTAATGTTTGGGTTTTTTGTATTATTTTCACTTTTTGCACTGTATTTCACTTTTTTGCAGTGTATTTCATTTTTGGCACTGTAAATTACTTCGAAAAAATTGCACTGCTCTTAGCCAATCATAATTGAGAATTTCATGTATATTATTATCACAGAAATGGAACTCACAGTTCACAGTCCAAGAAGTTAGGTTCTCGTTACCTTAGTAATTTAGACTTCGCTGTTAATGTTACAACATTGTCCTCGTTGCTGTTAGACAAATTTTCAAACAGTCCATTTACGTCACAGGATGATGACAAAGGAATTACACACTAAAGCATGTTAAAAATAGCCACAAAATTCACTGGAGAAACACACACCCTAAAATAAGCATCTTTTCGAAAATATCATCTCTACAGTTGGGTATTTACATACAGTAACTTGTAAAGGGAAATGTAGAGTAAAAACTAAAGAGCTGAACACCTAAAAGGTATGTAAACTTTTTATCGCATAATTTAAATTGAATTTACATTCAGAATGAAAGAGTTTATTTACATATATAAATTAGAAATTCTTCAAGTTTGTGCACACATATGAAGTGATTTAGCTAGTACTTAGGCTACAATTCTGTGCAATTACGATAGGCGACTTTGGTGCTACTTAGTGATGAGAAATAACACCTTACCCAGAGACCTGTCCACCCATCTTTTGGACAGGTACTTGTGATTGTGGATGGGCAAAATTGGAAAAATGTTAAAACTCCAGTATTTTGTCTGTAGTAATTACTACAACCGTACAAGCTTAAATTTTGCTATAGCATATTCATTCAACAGCACAGCACAGCACACATCCCTGCACTTACATCCAGAAGCAAACAAGCCTATGTCTTTGAAATATTTAGTATTTTAAACTAATATCAAGAATAACTTCGGGGTTGATGTTATTGAGGTCAACCAAGCTGTTTGGTCTTGTGTTCTTTCTACTGCTACAAATTACGTTTTTAGAAGCGGGGGGGGGGCAGACCTGGTCAAGAAATTTTGGACGCATACTGTAGATTGCAAATCCTGGTTAAGTTCCTGACCTTACCATGAATAAATTAGTGCTGCAATATTGGAACTAGCTGTTCATGTATTTTGCATGACGATCATCAGAAACAATACACAATAAACGCAATAGTATCTTAATATTAAATGTCCAAATAATAAATTTTACACCTTATTTTAAGTTTCAACCTAACTCAACTGAACTTAACTTAACTTAAAAATTATTTCCAGCTTGAAGAACTTTTTAAGAATAAAACTTTAGTTAATGTACAGCAGCAATCAGAAACCGGCTTTGTTTTGAATCATTTATGTTATTCTACAACTTTTAAGCTCCTTAATATACACAATACGTACAGAATGTATGAAATGATTGATAAGATTTCAATTCCATACAAACATAAAAATATTAAATTGAGAAAAATTAAATGCAACATATACAAATCTTTCCATTCTTTTATAGAAGGTGCTCTAGGTTTGGCAATTATTAAACATGACAAGAAAGATAATTCAATCTATTACTGTATTTAAATGAATTACACACCACAGCTTGAGGTGGACTGTCAAGCTTTCCAATCCTTCTTTTCTCTTGTAACATCTCTTCCCGTTTATTGGCACGAAGCTGTTTTGCCTAATAATCACAAAAAAATAACGACAAATAGTTGAGTACTTAATGTACACTACATTACAGGGACAGTGTTTCTTTGTGATTGATGCTGGGTTAAAATCAGGGGAAAACGACTTGCACGAGACTGGCTGTATACAAATAACTGTGTATCATCGTTATGGGTCCACGCAACTCATAAACAAGTATATATCTAGATCATAACTCAGAGGTCCCAAGGATAGTGCAAAAGTTTCTACTTTCTAGAAGCTGTAACCATAAATTTTCTATTTACAGTAGTTCCCCCGTTTCAAGGGAAGAAATGTACATGTATATAAAGCCCCCTCTATTAGTATTAATCGCCCATTCACATCAATCAAACATATGTGTGCTGATTAGATTTATTACTGTAATTGGACAGTCACGAATTTCGCGTCCGACTCAGTCAATTTGTTTCTTCAGTTACGTTAGGTTTGCGGTACAAAAATTCACTGACTAGCTACAGTACGACTAGTTTAAATTTTGCCCTTCATCACAAAACTGCCCAGTTCGAAACTTTGCACTACTAGAACATTCAAAGGTACATAAATGGAATTTGCTGTTCTTATGTTATATGCATAGACGGATTTTGTGTGTGTGTGGGGGGGGGTGCTACACCCAATATTAGCTATAACCCCCTCAAAACAAAATGTCCACCCCTACAAAAAAAATTTTACCCCCCCCCCCAAATATTCGGCATAATAAAAAAATAATTAAATAGTCCATTCGAACGTGCAGAGTGTTGATGATACAAAATAAGCATAGGAGTACACTCGAACAGAAAAAGACAGTGCAACACTCTGAAACTAATCGCTCCTCGCTTGCATTCACTGGTTTATTGGAGCAATTGTAAAATTTTGAAACTCTATTATCTCCCCTGAATAGAGTTTGCAGTGCCTTGTCATGCAAATAGCTTGACGTTTGGAATTTTTACGAACATTATTTTTAGTTTTTAATTCGATTAGGAAATAGACTTGCCTAGATTTAATCTTTACGCAGCAAATATTATTTACATCGGAGTTGCATCATAAATTGTACTTGGATTCAAACAACACAATGTCAATGACTTTATAAAAGTAAAATCATATTGTGTATTGGCCTATTGGGTTTACACTTTTACAAATTCATTTAACTTTAACTCTCTCAAGTCTCAACAGACAATCAGACATGCCAAATCCATTGATAGAGACAACTTCAAAAAACGTTTTTTCGAAGCTAGAAATCACGATTTTTTCAAATTTTTCCAGGGATACTTTGTTTTCTGCTCTCTAGACTCCCCCTCGCGGCTCTAGTGCTCCACCCCTAGAATATAGACCTTACTGGGGTTTGGTGACACTTCGTGTTGCTTCAGTCACCTGCTCACGGCTCACCCCCCTAAAATTTATGGCACCACCACAGTAAAAAATATAAAAATCCGTCTATGGTTATATGTCTAGAGCTGTAGAGCGATATGCCTAGAACGCGCACGAAACAATCACTCAAAATATTCCACTATGACACTTTGTTACCCTGGCTTAAGGGACCTACTTACTGGGATGCCTCAGCATTTGCAGGGCAGCACCCGAAGTATAGTTACGCCATTGGCAAATAAGTGAATACTTCAACTACACGCTTCAATGCATTGTGATCAGATAACACATTTATGTTGAGAACAAAATAATAGCTAAGATCTCCTCCTAAATAATAGTAAATCTCTTCTCAAGTATATTGGAAAATGACACTTGAGGAGAGATCTGGCAATGTTGAAACTAGGCTACCTGCTCTAGCAAACTACAGTTTTTCAACACATATATATTAATCTTGAATGGGCTGTGTCAGTATAGGATAAAAAGACAGCTGTGGTTGAGAAAGATACTGCATACCTGAAAAATACGAGAACCTCGTTGTTTTGAGCAAAGGCGCTTCATCGGGAAGTTAGTGCAGTTTGGGCCTTTGCTGGAAAGTTGAAAACACTGTAGACCGCGAGCAGCCCCTCAGGCGAAAGGAGGGACTGCCGACAACACATCAAGAAACGAAATATGCGTTGCCCACACAACGCAAAATTCCCATTGGTCGAAATCGATGTGCCTGTCAATCAAATCTGATATGTATAGTAATCCAGGTGATCTCGTGTTCGTATTCTAGCCAATCAGCGCTCAGAAAGGGTTGTCCGAATAGAAATCCATTTTGATGTATTCAGTCAATTATATCTTTCGTTATTCTTTATGAAACTAG